GCGGGAGGGCGGCGCGACATGGAGGGGAGGGCGCGCGGGGAGGAGGGGCGGCGGCGGCGGCGTGGGGTGGCTGCGGCGCCGGCGGTAGATCGCGGCGGCGGCCCGAGGCGGCGGCTAGGGTTAGCGGAAGCGGGAGGATCGACTTGCTATAGATACCATGTAGAGAATGATTTGGTGCATCGATAATTGATTGATCGTGCACTAGGCACATATATATAGGTACAAGGGGTGTGATCAGTATCTTGTCACCCAAGATACACGTACATATAGAGAGAGACAGACACTACGAGTACTACATACAAAATCCATATCTACGTACATGTATACATGTTCAACGATGGGAACCCAGCTCTCATGCAAGCAGGAAGACATGGATCTTTTTCCAGCGTGCACCACCATCACTGTTGTAGACGGCCACAAGGCACTCTTCTTACATTATATAATTGGAGCAGAAGGGGGGCCCTCAAGTCTCTTTACCTAGAGCTCTACAATATTGCTTCCAAGAAAAACAGGACGGTGCAACATGAGATATCCGGTGAAAACTGGATCAGAGCCGTGGCTAGGCTCTAGTCCTTGCAGTAGCTGGGGGAGTATGTCACCCTTTGGGAGTAGACCAGTCAGGGTTCACCTTAATCAAACCAATTGGATCCATATCTTCGAACAAGACTATCAATGGTTCACACTCTTCGGCATCCGTCTGCGCGGTTCAGTTCCATGACTCTCACCCAGGTTCGAATCATCCAAAATCTGGTTTGCGCACGCTGAGCCAATAAAATGCAAGTTCTTTGCCTCACTTGTCCTGCATGGCAAAATTCTCACCACAGACAAGCTTCCGCTCTAGGGCTAGTTGCACGACCCGACGTGCCAACTGTGCCTCCACCTGCCAGAATCTGCGACTCACTTGTGCAAGATTGCCTCTTCTGTGTCGCCGTCTGGAACCTGGACAAATGAGGATCTTTCTACGTCTATCTTTTTTCCTAGTCTGGCAGTGCTTCAAACTAATTGGCAAGTTGATCGAAAGAAAGTTGAAAGAGGTGTGTAAACATCGAAGTGGCGGGCTCATCTACACCATTTGGAACATTTGGAAAGAGAAGAACATATGAGTATTCACGGGCCGTTGCATGACTCACTATGAGGTGGCAATGCTGGAGGACATCAAGTAATGCGAGATGACATTTTTGGGTGTCATGGCCACTATGGGCATTGGCTAAGTTGCATCTGTAATTTTTAGTTCCTTTGGGTTTTGCCACGTTTCCCCCGAAAACGTGTGCCACCTTGTACATTATGTTCACCCTTTTGTTTCTATATGAAAAGGCAGTGCTCCTTCTGATTCCTAAAAAATGCCGCTACAACAAATTCACAC